TGCCTGTAATTCTGTTTGCCATCGTTCCAAGTGAATTTTCATGTTCAAGCTAAATGTTTTTCTGCAGCGCCAAACCAGAAGCTTCACTCAAGTCCTTGAACTACCCCGTGAAGTGGATCAGAAGCCAGAGGGAAACACACGGGCTGGTTTGGCTTCCCTTTGAGTGCAGTGTAAAGCAAGGCTTACGCGCATGTGGGACATCTGCGCCTGTAGCTCCCTGGGATGTACTCACCCAAATCATTTCAAATCTATCACAAAAAAAAAGTATGAGTGACTGACCTGGAAAAAGGCAAGACGCTTTTGTTCTCCTTCATTTTTAGTACAGGATAAAGAAGGATGGGCGAGGCAGATAATTAGGGGAAGCTATTCCTGTCTATTTTCTTATTTGAAAAATCTCAGGCTCTGGTATTAAGGCTCGCTCGCTGGCACTGAGTGAGGGCTTGCTGGAGCCTTGGAGGTGGTTAGCAAAAGTGACTGAAGACCGACAACACCATTTCCCTTTCAAAGGGTCAAATCACATTAGAAGCAACCCTAATGTGAACCCTTCTATATATTTCCATGGGCACACAAAAATTGTGTTGAAATGTTTATTTTTGATGTAAAACTCGTGTCTTATAAGTATATCCCTGCCAGAGCGAGAACACCAGTGCTGTGGGGTCAGTTATTCCCTGTGCCACAGCTGAGCAGCCATTGCTGGGGAAGTTGTTACAAAATGTCCTTATCATGTTCCATTTCTGATCTTTATCCCGCAGCTGTGAAGACAGGACACTTGTCTGTGTCTTCAAGCTCTCTGCTTCTCTAAAGCCTCCGGTGCTTTCTCTTCCCTTCATTCCTGCAGTATCAGTACAAGATGGAAGAGTTTAACTCCCTCTCCTCACCTTAATCACTGTCCCCAAAGGCACCGGGGTGGATCAGGCACCTTCCCACCTCCCCTTTCAGATGTTCTGTTCAGCCACTGCCTGGGAAATGACACCCATATGAAGAATCAGTTAAGGCTGTGGAAGAGGTAACCTTTCAAATTCAGGCACCAAATGGTGTCCGTGGGTGACAGGAGCACAGCTGCGACTGAGCCTGCCCAGCAGCCTGGGCTCCCGACCTTCTGATGCCTCCCTGCGCAGCGGAAGGGATTTCCATGCAAACGTGAAGGCAGCACAAGTTGGAAATCAAAGCTCTTTTCTTCCTTCCTTCTGTATTTTATTAATTCTTTTTCTCAGGGCGTGCTTCAGTGCCAGGGACCAAGAGTTGGCCAAGGAATTAACCCAAGACAGAAAGGAGCCTCTCAAAAAGCTCACATCAGCAGAACTGCTCCTCACTCAGCAATGGAGGAACGGCCGTGCTGGATCGCTCCTGCAGTGCGCCTGCCCCAGGCCTCGTCTCCCTCAGCCAAATCTCGTTCTAGTGTCAGTGGACAAAACCTTACTGGCAGAAGCAAGTACAAGTGATGAACTTGACTTGCCTTTTGGCTTTACTTGAATTTGGCCAATAGTTTCTCCTTCCTATAGGCACCTTCGGGAACTATACCTGCAGGCAACTGGCAGGATCATGTTCCAACCCCAAATTCCTTCTGACCCACTGTGTTCTGACCTAGAACTTTCAACAGCCTTTCCAGTGGGGATCTCAGACAGGTTCTCTGCTGGTTTTGGCTTGAGAGGCAAAAGGTCTCTTTTGCCTCTCTTTTGAGAGGCAGATGCTGAGGGGAAAAAACCAAATCCAAAAACTCAGCTATCACAAAAATTGTACTTAACATCCTGATCAGAGAAAGTTTAAAGGGTGTAACCTGCTCTTCTGGGTCATAATAACACAAAACTCTGACTCCTCAAGAGTGCCCTGATAGCTCAAGGACCTTTGATACATGTGGTACAAACAATGAAAATGAGTAAGACAGCGGGTATTGAATTTTGAAAAAGAAGGAAATCCAAAATCCCCAGCCCTCTCCTTTGCAGTTAAGTCAGGAGGGAAGTCAAGGATGAAACGGGCCACTGAGTGAAGAGTATCGTCTCACTGGCTGTGAAGTCCCAGCTAAGGGAACGCAGGTGGGAGGAAGCTGTCCTGCGCTCTGCACTGCATCTGCTTTGGAGACTAATCTGCTTCACCTCCAGAACGAGTCCCTCTTGTAGATTTTGCCTGAAGCTTGCTTGAGAAAATCTTTCCAGAAAGGCAAGATCAACAGGAAGATCTGAACCAGTTGGGAAACATGTTCTGCTATCCCTACCAGTTCCCCTGTGCCATCAGCCAGGAGGTCCCTGCAGCCAGGGTTCTTCCACTGTTTACTACCGATGGCAAGAGAACTCGAAAACAAATTCCCATTGTCAATCTATTATCACGTGCAGCTGGAAACGGCCAGTGCTTGGGACTTGTCCAAGCAGCTTAGAGCACTGAAGGGCAAGGACTGCCTTCCTGTGGCTCTGACAATCCTCTATTCCCCCTCTGCTGAGACCAGCACAATGTAACCGGTTGATCCCAGCCCCGGAGAAATCAGCTGCCCTTTAACTTCTGAGCTCCCCGTGATCCACCAACAAAATCCCATGCAGATAGTTAATATAGAGGAAAGTGGTTAACCGTCCCAGTAAAATAACACCAAAGCCTTCACCCTCATGATTTATTGGGGATATCTGAGTAGCACCCAGAGCTGCTGCTGTGACCTTCTGTACAGGACATGATAGAAGCTAGCCTCTCCCTCCTCGGTTAGACTCGAGACATGACGTGAGGGCAGGGGGGGATTGGAAGTAAGAGTGTCAATAGCTGCACTGATCAATATTGTCTCTAGTTATAAGCTCAGTGTGTTGATAAAAATAAATGAAGTAGAGTTGCTGACGAATCATTAACATTTGCCTAATCATTATCCTCGGGCAGCTTTCCACAGGCAATAGATCAGCAAGCTGCCTGCCTAGCAGACATCACCAGTGCTTTCCAACGATGGGCAATGAGCTGTCTACTGCATGTGTGTTTTTCAAGGGTCAAAGACAGATATGTGAAACACGCTGCAAATTCAAGTGCAGGAATCAAAAAGTGACTGGAACTACAGCTGTCAGAATTTTTTCCAATTTATTTCCCTAATAGATTTGCTTCCATCTTAATGCACGAAGGAATTGAGTCCCTTGAAGACAGAGGAGCAGGCGTATAGAAGCCCATATACCAAACTAGCCCCAGAACCAGCTCTCTCTGTGAAGTAACAGCACCCTCCCACCATCCACGGACCCAAAGGAAGCCACAGTAGAGGCAGCTTCGCTCTCCCTCATCACCAGCCTTCCAGGTCCACCAGCCTCTTTGGCAAATATTGCTTAGTTGTAGGCTACGTCTGCCTTGTTACGGCATTTCAGGCGTCACTGGCATGCGAGGCTTGGGACCACTCCTGGCACTCTTGGGGCCACCCGTGCCAATATTCTCTACCTTGAACTTCAGACCTATCTTCTCTCCCAGCCTCTCTCTCCAGGCAGCTGCCCAAAGCCAAGCCTGACTCACCATGGCTCCATGCCAACGACATAACGTTGATGCTGTTGCTACAAAAATGACTGGCAAAGCTGACTTTTCCAGCATCAGGGACTTGTCCAAGGAGAGGGCAAACAATATGTACTGACATGAACCGGTTACACCAACTTTAGAATAACAAATTTAATGTGAATGCAGAGTTTGGCACAGGTTACATTTTGAAGGAAAACTGCACTGTCATTTTAGCTGGCATCTCGCAGCTGCACATCACTGCTTTTTTTATTAATTGATGGATCATTGCAGCTTGTGTGGGGAAATACCACTCCTGCCTTACAGCAGGGAAAATGAAGTGGGAGAAGATTGAACTATTCTGTGGCCCAGCAAAGCCTGCAATTTCCAAACCTGTCAGCCTGCCGAGACCGACATCGTAAATGAGATGCCTCGTGTGAGCCAGGAAACACGTTGATCTTTGTACCTGCCTGCAGTAAAGATGCTCCTTCAGATCATTGCATTATATCATGGATTTTGTTTCCAAAAGGTCACCTGCCCAAGAGGACAGCCCCGGGAGCCCCTAGGTTACCGTTCCCCGGGCACCGGGGATCCACCACCGTCAGATCGTGATGGTCTCTGACAGCTCTGCGGGCGGCTCTGGTCACAACCCCCAACCCTCCCTCGCTCCCCCGACACGGGGCGCCGGCCCCGCTCCCTGGGGCGACTTTCCCTTCCCGGGGCACTCGGAGGTCACCTCGCCCGGCAGCGCCGGGGCTCCTCCCGAACCGGCTGCCGCGGCCCAGCTGCTCCCGGTAGTACCGGGGAGGAGATGGGGGCTCGGACGGGGTGAGGGGGGTGCACGGGGCGGAGCGGCTCCGCGCGGGGTGGCGCTGCTTCCTCACCCCCTCGGCGGGCAGGCCCGGTGCCCCCCGGGGAGGGCGA